TGTAGGACTGATTCTTAACAACACGGAAAAGGCGTGTAACTATAACTCCATAGGCTCTCTCGGCAGATTCACTGAGGGTCCCAATCATGGCTGCTAATGATTTCTCCCCACCAACACTAGTAAGGCGGGTGCAATCAGAGAACAAGAATCTATTGTAAGAAAATAAAAGTATAATCATGTTGACAATTATAATATTTTTAGCTAGAGGATTTGTTACTATGAAAAGCATAATGACTTCCAATGATTCACTTTTTATTTAGAATTTGGTGCATTTACTTTTTAGTAATGGAAAATTTTTGTTAAATGTATTAATGATAAAATAAATTAAAAAAAAAAAAAAAATTTAAATCTCTTTTTCTATGTGTATATATTTATACAGGATGTCCCAAATGTTACATATAAGCTTAAGAATGATTTTTCTGAATATACTTTTTACATTTATCAATTGTGAAAAAATGAAAACAGAAATAAACAAAGTACAAATAAGTACATTTCTTTTCTGTATTTACAGCACTTGTATTGTTTTATTTATTCTTGCATATTTTCTTTAATTTTTAATTTGTTTATTTAGAAAAATAGAAATATTGTTAAATTTTTTAAAACACCTTTATGACTTTTGGGAGACTTTGTATTTATATAAAAAAAAAAAACAAAAAACTTCCAAGTGAGGTTAATCATCTTTTATATTTCATCAACAAAGTGCATGCATGGGAAATTAAAATGTTTCTACTTATTTACTGGATAGAGAATATTGACATGGTTATTTATGAACAGGAATCAAAGCACTCACTGAATTCTCCAAAGAGGATTATGTTTTGCCAAAGGAAAGAATTACAGGTAAAGACTCACCTTACACGAGGCACTTCAGTAACAGTAAGTTTACGAGGATTCCAGAATAATACATACAATAACATATCCAAATTTTGTACTTGCTGCTCACACAAGCGAGCCAATCGCACTGCAAACTTTGATGGATAGCGAGAGGCCCAATACCAAAGTGTACCTAAAAATATCAAGAAGGATTCATAAATTGCAAAAAAAAAGTAATGAAAATATATATTGGAGTGCAAGAAAGAACCTGTATGTTTTGTAAACTTAACTAAAGATAACTTTCAGTAACCAAAATGGCTTGGTTAATAAGTAAAAGAATGAACTCAATACAAAGCATTTTTCATCCTTTTCTTCAATTCTTGTCCACTGATTTTAATCATCAATTTTTTAGCATACACACACACACAAATATGTGACACACACACACACACACAAATATGTGACACACACAAATATGTGACACACACACACACACACAAATATGTGACACACACACAAATATGTGACACACACACACACACACAAATATGTGACACACACACAAATATGTGACACACACACACACACACACAAATATGTGACACACACACAAATATGTGACACAGGCAAAGGTAAGTAGATCATCAATGTCATAATGAAAAATAAGAATGGTAATTTATATCAAAATTTGCAATATTTTAAAGGTTTGATACTTCGTTTTTAATGAAAAATTATTCCCTAAATTTTGGTTACTACTTTCTCTATCTGCACTACAAAATACCAAATTGTAAACAAAATTTATTACAGTATCTTTTGAAATTTTGCAGGCAAGATAGAATGGAAGAAGTGTTCAAGAAAAATATTTAGTCCCAAGACTATTTTCTTTTTACTTACCAAGTATACCAAGCTGTAAGAGGAAAAGACCAATGCCTGAAGTTAGTCCAACAATCCAGTTAAATATCATGCTCAGTATAAAACCAATGATGGTATTAATCAGTAATAAAAAAATAAAAGCAGTTTTTGTGAAATGGAAATTGGCCCCTTCATTTTGTTGGGTGAATGATTTCATCTCTTCTGCAAAGGTAAAAGAAAGAAAATGTTATTAAGATAAGCAGCACTGTGGATTAATATCAACAGTATTCTATTTTTATTAAAAAAACTCTTCAGGAAATACTGACAGTTAATTCTTCTAATGATTAAAGATCCCAATAATAGGAGTAGATAGGTCTACCTATTGCCTGGTCCATACTCCTTCTCCTCCTTTTGAACAGGACTAGAGGCTTATCTCTTGTTTCCTATTTAGGATGGGGTTTCCTGTTTCCTTCTTCTGAGGCCTTAATAAAAGTGGCTGTCATGAATTTTTAGTGAGATGACTAGATGGTGGCTATGAGTCTTTATACTGAGAGTTGGCAGTTTTCTGGTTACTGCATCCCAACTAGTAGTTAGGAGCCTGAACTATTGGGTAGTATCCAGAAAGGCTGTTCTCATCAACAGTTGCATAATATTGGGGTTTTTGCAATGCCATGTTGTGCATGGAAAGGTGTTAGTACAAGCATTTCCGGTGGGCAATTCTGAGGTACTCTATACTACAGTCTGTACCAATTCTTAGCCAGTACATATTACCTTAGACGGCCGACAGCTACAATTATTCTTAATCATCATTTCCACCTTTAAAAACATACCATTATGCATGGCCTCAGGAACATCTCCAACTGGCAATTGAACTCTCTCAAGTCTCCAGACTTTCTCTACTAAAATTCAGTCAGCTATCTCTTCTTTATTGCTCCCCTTTCTCTTATGGCTGTTGCGTGCTAGATAGAATTTTTGATCAAGCATTGGAGTCTATAGATCTCTTTTTGCTCTTCCATTAGTTATGGACATCCTGTTAACAGAATATCTTTCTGTTATCAATGCACTGACTGGGACTCATTTCCTTACTTCCCTTGTGATGCCCCAAGGCATGATATTTTTAATCATCCTTAAATGTGCCACTGAGGTTTCTTCCTGGGTGAAAGTCAGCATTGAAGCTTTCATTCCAGAACTGAAATACTAAGTGAAATCATGATCATGTCCTTGGTTCTGCTCAGCTGCTATAGCCCACATGAATCACTCCTTCCATTTATACCAGAGTAACAAGCCCGATTGTAGTAGATATCACTTTGTGATTGCTCATAATGAGTGCAAGCATGTCTTCAAAGAAATCACTAATTGCTGATAGAATAAGATGCTGAATAGCCTCTCAAAAATTTGGTTTTAGAGATTACTGGTGGCTCTGCACAAGTGTGTTGAACAATATTAAATCCCCAGTTCTCCTCTCTTCAATCAATTATTGACATCTGCAGATAAGGTAGAGTGCATTTGCTTGGAAGTTCTCTTCCAACTCCACTCATCTGGAGTAGCTTTGCCAGATTTTCTCCCTAGAACAGTGGCTCTACTGAGTGATATGCATATAAGCCTGTCACTGGTTTCTGACATCATTTTTAAATTAGATCGCCACAAGGTAAGTGGATGTGACAGGATCCTTGCTGTCGTCCTCAATAAATGTGCTCCTGTTCTCTCCAAATTTTACAACAAATGCCTTGCTGCTTGTTGGAAGTCATCCTCTGTAGTTCCTGTTTTCAATATAGAAGGGAAAATGGCATAACTCCTGTTAAAAAAAACACCAAAAAACGTGCTCATATGTGTCATGTGTGTAAAATACATAAAAGAAAATATGGCCGCTCCAAAAGCTGGAATTTAAGAACAACTTTATCTCAGAGCTCAGAGATTTTGCAAGACAAATTTGTGGCTTATGGAAATTTCCAAGCCTCAGCCACTTGATAAAAGGGGCATGAGTGAGAGAACATCAGACGCACTGCAGATGTCAACAAGTGGTTGTGCCTTGCATGTGGAGTTTTGCAGTAGACTCACCAACTATGTTTGAAAAGACAGAGTACATCTGGTACTCCAAACAATTGTACTTTTTTTTTTAATTTGTTTTACTACATTTAAGAACTTTGTGGAACCCTCTGACCCTTCAAATTATCACCCTATTAGTCTCTTACCTCTTTTTGGTAAAGTACTCAAGGCTCTAATCAATGCCAAATTGGTTAAGCATCTTACTTGACATGAACTTCTTTTGGACAAACACGGTTTCCATTTTGCCAGGTTTACTGCTGACACGTTTATGGCCATCTAACAAGCTTTAGATAAGAATGGTGAAGTTTGGGCTGTGGCTCTCAATATCTCAAAGACGTTCAACAGGGTTTGGCGTGTTGGCCTTCTACCGGGTGAGTATTTGGCTTAATCCAAGCATTCCTAACAAATCATGTAATGAAAGTTGTGTTGAATGGGCATGCTTCCAGATCATTTCATACTAATGTGGGTGTCCCCCAGGGACTTTTGCTGTTTCTGATCTTCAATGATCTCCCTGATATCATCAGTTCCCAACTAGGTATTTAAGCAGATGACAACTATTTACCCTGGCAGAACCAACAAAAGGACATCCAATCAGTAATTGAATGAGACAAGAAATGGCTTGTAAATTTTAATACTGCCTAAACAAAACTGCTTTCATTTAATCACCACAGATAACGTTTTCTGCCTGCCATCAGCATGGCTAATGCTAAACTCCAGGAGAGTAACACTATGTCTTCTTAGCCCCACATTTTCCACTGACAAGAAGTGGAGCGACTCTATAGACTCAATTGCTAAGTCTACTGCTAAGAAAGTTAGTTCACTGTGTTGTGCTAGAAAATATTTCTTGTCAGAATCCTTCTTGCACATTTATAAATCTACCATTCATCCATGCATTGAATATTGCTGCCATATCTGGTCAGGTGCTCCTACTAATTATTTTGAGATTCTTGATAAAAAGGGTCTGCAATATAATTGATCCTGACCAGGCATCTCGACTTCAGTCATTTTCTCACCAACATGACATGGCTTGTCTCTGTTTTTCTACAAATATTTCCATGACAACTCCTCTGATGAGCTTTTTTTTCTGGTGCCCAAATTACATGAATTTAAGCATGCTACTAGATTGGCAACTACGACTTACCATTTATTTTACTGTTGAACTAGCTAGATGTAACAACCACTTTTACTGTAAGTTTTTTTTCTCACACTTCCCACTTGTAGAACTCCCTTCTGATTTCTTGCTTCCCTGATAACTACAATCTTCAAAAGTTTAAATGCAATATCAATTGCCATCTTCTGTCTCCTTGAACCCTGTTCCTTTTTTTATCCTTTCTTCAATCCTCCTCATTCTTAGTTTGCTTATTTTCTTTCATTCACATGCATTCTAGTGGCTGGTCACCTTACTTGGGATGAAATGATTCAAAAAAAAAAAAAAGTTTCAATAATATCAATTATATTTTTATTATTCAGATCAAGATCTCAATGAAACTGACTTGGTGTTAGTTGAGATAAAAAGTGAGTTTTTGTCATTAAAATTTACAAGAGAATTTGTATCAGAGGTTCTAATACTTTTGATAAGTATAAAGATAAAATAAAATAAATTCAATTATATTAAAAATTGATTTTTTACTGAGAGTTCCTTTTTAAAAATATAATTTTACAGAGGACAAATTTAGGATTATTAGCACCATTATTTTGGGTTTTTATCAAAAATAACATTACATGGTGACACTCTTATTTAAGTTTTTTCAATTTTAATCTTTTAGATTTACAAAGTGTAAATAAATATTAAAATAAACTAATTGTTGGATTTAATGAAATCATTTTGTTTGCAAATTAAAGTCAAATCCTTAAAAAGAAGAAATCAAATTTGAAATTTTCACATACTTGATTTGTTTTACAGTTGTTTCTTAAAACAACTGTAAAACAACTTTCTGACCAAAATCATGCTGTTAAAATATTAACTTTTAGCACTTAAGTTATAAATTTGTTTATTTTTAATAAATAAATAAATATTTAATTTACCTTTTGTTTTTTTAAAATCATGCTTTTAATTTCTTGTATTGGATTTGAAATTTGTATTTAAGCCTATGCAGGCATCACTAGCAATATACATGTCTATACTAATGTGATATAATCATCTTTTTATACATGTGATATAATCATTTGTAAATTTGTATTTAAGCCTATGCAGGCATCACTAGCAATATACATGTCTATACTAATGTGATATAATCATCTTTTTATATGTGTGATATACATGTCTATACTAATGTGATATAATCATCTTTTTAACAATTGTAAAATGACCCGATTCATAATTCTCATAACAAAACCTGCACAAGTTATATGAAAACAATAATTTATTTATTGCATGATTCAACTTACTTTGTAATTTGCTAATGAGGAAAGATTTACCACTGCCCCATTTTGCATACAGACCAACTGTGATAGGCATACTTAGGGAAGGTTCACTGAGTACATCTGCTAGAGCACTACTGTAGATTTCATAACCAAGCAAATTCTCTGCATCATTAGCATTCAGGTTTCCTGTTAATAATAAAGAGAAGATAATCAGTCATGGACAATGAAATGAGACCTAGAACAGTTCTTCTTCAAGGAAATCATTATCCAGTCATTGTACATTCAGATTATTATCAAATTCATTGTTGCTTAAATTTGATACTTATGCAGGAACTTCTGTTTTTAGAAAATCATAATAGATATTTTTATTAGGCAATTCTTAACTGGCTACTACCTTCTTGGATTCAGCAGAATATGAAACATTAAAAAATTATTAGATCAATTCTTACAAAGAGCATCAGTAAGAAAATTGATGCAAAATAGTGAAAAATGATTAGAAGCATGCTTCAAGTTGGATGACTGCTTATACTTTTTATTTTGTGGCATTTATTGGGGTATAACGGAGTTTCATTTTTAAATTCATTTATGTCCACTGTCCTAAAAATGGTGGGCATTAATGAGTTATAGGTAGAAAAGTTCAATACTGGATGTTTTTAATAATTAATGCAATTAATTATAATTAATATCAAAATTATGACTAATACTGGGTTTTATAGTGGCCATTAATGGGTTAATCAGATGATTCAATAAAATTGGCTTTCAAGCAGCAGCACTAATATGTTAGAGCATAATGCATTAAAGGCAACATTGAATTTGTTAATGTGCATGCTTTGATAATTTCAGGAGATACATTGGTTATTTGAATTCCTATATTAATCCAAAAACTCTTCATCTTAGCATCATTTTAGACACTCATCCTAAAATAGACATTTTATAGAAAATAAAAATCAAATACCTTCACTATTAGAGTCTTTTGGGTTTGTTATAATTGAGTTATATTTCTTTTCTATGTTGGCTTCTCCCAATTAGATCTAATTTATTAAGAGAAATTTAAATCAATATACTATCTCTCATGAACATTTTCAAGGGAGTTGTTGGTAGTAAATTTAAGATGTAACACTACTTAAATACAAGTATACTTACTGTGACCAAATATTTGAGTGAGGATGCCTTTTTGGTAATATGCATCAATACTGTAAGGTGTTTCACCTCCCTTGTTGGCCTTATATAAAAGCTGGCTATTCTTGGGGTTACGTAAAAGCATTTCGGTTATCCTCTTGCTGCGAGCTCGTAGGGCAATGTGGAGGGCAGTGTCCCCTTTCTGCATTTAATGATACAATAAGCAATGATAGGTAATTTAAAAACATCAATAAAATTTACAGTATTTAAAGTAAACAAAAATCAATATATTTTTTAGAAAGGCAGACATAAATATTTGTCTTGTAAGTTCAAGCAATGTTTATTTTATATCAACAAGATTTCCTATCAGAGCAGGTCAGCAGTAATACAGCCAGTAACCAAATTTGTTTGAATGCTTTTTATGAACCTGTGTAATAGATTAAACATTATATTCTTTCCTCATAATATACAAAATATAAGTATTATGTACTTGAATTTAATTTTAATGATCATTTACTGATCCTCCTTGTACAAACTTTGATGCTTCTTTTCTACTTGCAACTTTACTTAAAGCAATTGCCAAAATATGACCCCCCTCCCCATTCTTCTTACTTTGTCAACTGCTGATACTTTAGCTCCTTTTTCCAGCAGCATCATCACACATCCTTCATTGCGATGCCTCACAGCCTTCAGAAGTGGCGTATCACCATCCTAGAATCAAAAGAAAGGACTTATATTTAGGGCAGAATTTGTAATGTGTTGAAAAATTAAGATTATAATTTACATAATGTTCACTTTTTGTATACAGTTTGCAATTTTGTTTTAAGGAATAGTAAAGACATTTTTTCTAGATAATCTATAGTCTGATCTTTAAACAATCTGTGAGAAGTACAAAACTTTATTTATTAATGCTGTAAACATGGACATGTTAAAATATATATAAAACAATATACAATATCAAATGTAAGAAAAAATATAAGCAAACTACAAACAAGTGGGAAAGAGCAAGAATAATAAAATAAAGTCACTTTAAAGAAAGGAGAAGTGAAAAAAAATTTTAACAATAAGAAATATATATTTTTTCTACTGTTTTCTAAACATTACACATTTATATATGCTTTTGTCCTGAAGAGGCTCTGAAGAATAAGGATAAAAACTGATTAGCCAGGTTTTTTTTTTTGCTTATTGTTGAAATTCTTTTTTGCTTCCCCTCTTTAAATTTGCTTCTTTATTATCCTTGCTCCTGCTCTTCTCCCCTTGTTTAATGGATTTTGTATTTTTTTACATTTGTTATTGTATATTGTTTTACACATATTTTAACATGTCTGTGTTTATAGCAATAATCTGATATTTTTCAGTGAAACGTGAAAATTTGTACATAATTTTTTTATTATTGAATTATTTAAACTTTACAGCTCTTTATGTATGTACAATACATAATAAAGATCTAAAAAGTTTAAATAATTCAATGCATGTAATTAATAAATAAAAATGAATAATTAAAACATTGAAAATAAAATCTTGATAATTTTCAAAGGTTTGAAAATGTTATAATTATTATGGGAAAGAGGCAGTGTTATATTTATTATATTTACAGCACATAAATACATGCAGTAAGTATATAAAATATAAGTATATAATTCTATGAAATATATAACTTTAAAATATTTAATATTTTATAAGAACAAGACTATAAAGTAGATTTTTGTTTTGGCAGCCATCAGTATTGTTCTGGAAAGAACGGTTTCAATTTTTTTTTCGTCAATAGAATGTTGAAAAGAAATTTGCAATAGCTTACCTTGTTACAAATTTCAAGATCTGGATCTAAGGCCAGCAATTGTTTGACAATGTCATTGTGTCCCTTATCCACACCCCAATACAGAGCAGTTTTACCCTCCTTTAAGGGGAAAAAAAGATCAGATGATAAAAATATTGAGAGAAATTTCTTTGTCAGTTAACTACAGCTGAAATCTGTTTTCAAATAATAAATAATTTAATAACAGAAAATCTCTCTATATCACCAAATGTTTGATTGAAATGTGAATTTTGATTTTCTGGTGTATCATCATTATTTTTGTACATATTTCCTGTATATTAACATTACAGAGTAATAAGTAAAATTTTGCCAGCCAGGAAATATAATACTAATGAACTAGAGCCAACATGAACACACATGCACACACTGTCGTGATGTAAGCAAAGAGTTTGTTGAGATTTGGAGGAAACACCTAAGCAATTACTCTCCCAGCAACTACGGGGTTAATAGGCAGAGAGGAGAAAGAGACAGGAGGTAACAAATAACACTACCTTGGAAACTACAGTCACTTGAAGAACAAAATGCCCACAGGACCAACTTCACAAGACACTGTGTCTTGCCAACTGCTGGGTCCCCCCCGCCACCCAGCTTTTATTGGCATGAGGCATCTTACCTGGATCTTGACCAGTTGCAGAGACACCTGTATCTAGAAAGGCCAAACTGTTCAGCTGCTAATGGGAAAAACCCAGATGTAATTAGTGTTGACAAACATGTCTGCATACGATCTGAGGACTCTTTTACATTTATACTGATTCATGTTCACCACATACACACACACACATATATATATAACCTTTATTCTTACTTACAGACAAACCTGTTTTTTGTTTGCTAGTTTCAGATTTATAGTTAAGATGTCCATCAAATATTCTAAATCATCAGTCAGCTGACATTGAATGGAAATTCAATTTTATATAAAGTATCAAACTGAGTGTTACAAAAACTGAGCAATACATTGTGTTAGGAAACAATTATTTATATTTCTGTTGAAAATAATGTTTAATGGAAGCCCAAACCAGAAAATGTTAAGGTGAGAAAGAGACAAACTGTAGATTGTATTACATTTACATCACCATTCTAAGTGCTGCAAAATTTATGTTCTCCCATGAACAGCTGTTATTCTTTTAAGAATATTATGCCACAAACAGATTGTTAGAGGCACTATATTTAAAAATAAAAATATAAGATAAAATAAATGTATTTTCATGCATTGCCTTTAAATAATATATAAGTTACAAATCAGCTGTATTCATTTGTGATTTACATTTTTTAATTAAAAGGATTTAGTAAAGTTAAGATCTTATTTAATAAAAAAAAGTTTTAGAAAATTTGCAGAACTTACTGCTCCTGCTACATCGACATCAGCATGTTTGGAAAGCAGGATTTTGACAACATCTGAATGTCCACCTTTGACTGCATGCATGAGGATTGTGTCACCAGCCTAAAAAATAGTTCACCAACATCCTAAGTATAATGATTGATGAATCCAGTAATATTTTTTAAATAAAAGGGTCTAAATGGTGTTAGCAACAATCAGATGAGATATATATACATAACAAAAAAAAAAAAAAAATTTCAGTAGAATGTGCTTAACATTTCATAAAATTTAAAGTCAGAAGCCAAGATTGACATTAAATTTTTAAAAATGTTTCTTCTGTACATGCATATAAAATGAATTGCTATAATTCATGCAATTGATAAACTAGATAATATTTGATTACCGTGTGAGATTTTCATAATAAAAATTTGAGGAAATAATCATGGAAATAGATAGATGTACTTCATAATGCTAGAAATTAAATTTTATTGGTTGCTCAAATTACGAGTAAAATGAATTAAAGTTTTTTGGTGGATTGATTGTGTTTGAAGGGCATATCAACTCTGTTGAACATTGCTTCTCTCACCCTCCCCCTGGCTATCGCTAAAAATGGACTGTACCTGCTTATAAATAGTTCTGTTTGTACTAACTGTTCTATTGTGTTGAATAAAACCTAATTTGGGTTACTCTTCTCCATGTCTTTTATTACAATTCAGCACAATCCATAGAGACTGAGATAGTGTTACTGAAAAGTATTTGAGAAATATTGACAAAATTCTGCAACCTCAGATATTTGAAACTCGCCCCAGTTTGAAGAATGCTGAAAAGGATTGGAGGCACTGGTTTTCCACTTTTGAGAATTTCATGCAAAGTATAGAACAATATGCCCCCCGCCCCCAACTGATGAACTGTGCTCCTAAACTTTATAGGCCCTTCAGTGTATGAATTAATTTCTGACTGTCCAGACTACGAGAGTCATCAATAGTCTCCAGCAACTGTATGATAAGCCTAAGAATTAAATCTATGCCAGGCATAAATTATCAATGCGCTTACAAAAACCAGAAGAGACGCTAGATGACTATCTTCTAAATCTGAGGCATTTAAGTGAGGATTGCAACTACAAGGCAGTCAGTGCTGAGGAACAGAGTGAGGCCATAAGAGATACCTTCATATGTAAACTTTTGTCCCCCAATATTCAACAATGACTACTTAAAAATGTAACTCTGGACTTCACCACTGCCTTTGACCAAGCCAGAGCTCTTGAACAAGCTCAGAAAAGTTCTATCTCTCAAACAGCTGTTAGTAACCCCTGCAGCCTGACAGAAAACATAGCATCCGCAGTGGCTTCTAAAACTCAAAAGTGTTTCTTTTGTGGAAACCATAGGCATCCTCGCTGTAATTGCCCAGCTTGGAACGCTACATGTTGAGGATGTGAGAAAATCAGCCATTTTGCAAAAATATGTTCTAGGACAGCTGCCACTCTTCGTTCTTCTAATCCTGTGGTGATGGCAGCATCATTTATGGATTTGTTTGTTGTAACTACCCCAATAAAACATAAATGGAGAAGGGTCAGAGCTCTCATGGACACTGGGAGTGCTGAAAACTTCATATGTGAATCCCTAGTTTAAAAGCTTTGTCTGCCTACCCTAGTGAGGAATACCATGTCAATAGCATCAACCACATGAGCTCTTGGATGTTAGGTTATTGCCTGGTAAATTTGGAAGTGGAGAGACAAGAATATTCTGATTTTAAACTGTCTGTGCTTACTGATTTGTGCGCTTCTGTATCTTTGGGCAAAATTTTATGGGGCAACACAAGAGTATCTGTGTGAAATTTGGTGAAAAGAGGCCCCCTTTAAGTGTGTGTGGACTGACTATTCCTCCTCCCCGACTCTTTATTAATCTTGTTGAGAATTGCAAACCAATAGCTATTAAATCTAGAAAGTACAGTAAGCAAGATAAAGAATTCATTACTGCTGAAGTAAATAGACTACTTTCAGAAGGAATTATTGAGTCCAGCACTTCTTCTTGGCAAGCCTAGGTCATAGTGACCACTAACGAACGGCAATAAAAGAGAATGGTGGTCGATTATTCTCAGAGTGTTAACAGATTGACTATGTTGGATGCTTATCCTTTAACTAAGATTGAGGAATTGGTAAACAAGATGGCACAATACAAAGTCTATAGTACTATAGATTTGAAATCCGCTTACCACCAGGTCCCAATATCTGATAAAGACAAAATTTATACTACCTTTAAAGCAGAAGTTATATCAATTTTGCAGGGTACCGTTTGGAGTATCCAAAAGAGTAACTTGCTTTCAAAGAATAATGGATAATAGCTGACAATTCACTCTCCCACACATTTTCCTATTTAGACAATATAACTGTCTGTGGTAAGAGCCAGGAAGAGCACGATGAGAACCTCAATAAATTTACAAACGGCCAAGAAATACAATTTAATTTAAAATCATAATAAATGCTTTCTCTGACTTTACAGTGAACCTTCTAGGCTACACAATATCTGAGGGTACAATTAAATCAGATCCTGAGAGACTTTGACCATTTAAAGAACTTCCCCTTCCTTGCGATATTCATTCTCTTCGTTGTGTGCTGCGAATGTTCTCTTATTATTCCCAATGGATTGCTAAGTATTCTGAAAAAGTTGCCCCCCACCCCTCATACAAGCAAATAGTTTTCTACTACCCAAGACTGCTGAAAAAGCCTTTGAATACCTGAAAACTGATGCTCCATGCCACACGATTACAGCCTCATTGAACCAATCTGGTAGACCCATAGCTTTCTTTTCAAGGACATTGAGTACCAGCGAATGTAAACACTCTTCTATAGAAAAGGAATCCCAAGCTATTGTAGAGGCCTTATGTAAAAGGAGGTACTACTTGATAGGATGACACGTCACTTTACTTACTGATCAGAGATCAGTGGCATTCATGTTTGATTTGAAACAGGCTGGGAAAATAAAAAAAATGATAAAATCCAAAAGGTGGAGGGTTGAACTTGCCTGCTATAGTTTTCATATTAAATACTGCCAAGGGGGAGAGATAAATGTTACACCAGATACGTTATCCAGAGCTTATTGTTCAGCTGTAAGTTTGGACATCCTAGAGAAATTACACAGCTCTCTTTATCACCCTGGTGTTACGCGAATGATGCATTTTTTTTAGGACGAGTAACCTTCCTTTCTTTGTGGAGGATGTGAATAGAGTATCTACTGCTTGCCCTGCATATGCTGAAGGCAAACCTCAATTTCACCAACCTGACACTCTGCATCTAATAAAGACAACCATGCCTTTTGAAAGACTCAGTGTTGACTTTAAAGGACCCCTGCCATTTTCTTCTTGTAACTGATTTCTATTTACAATAATAGACGAATATTCTTATTTTCCATTTGCTTTTACTTGTCTTTTGTTGTTGCAAACAGTTATCCGGTGACTCACCCAACTCTTTGTTATCTTCGGTATGCCAATGTACGTGTGTTTAGACATGGGTTTCAGTTTCATGTTGGTTGAGGTGAAATCCTTGCATGGGCACAGAATCTCAACTAGCCGTAACAACCCTTATAACCCCCAAGGTAATGGGAAATGTGAGTGGTATAATGGTGTTTTGTGGAAAGCAATAACTCTGGCACTCAAAACTCAATGCCCACCTATAAATCAATGGGAGAATGTTTTGCTAGATGCTTTACATTCAATGCACACACTACTTTCAACAGCTACGAATGCTGCACCACACGAAGGGTGCCAGGTATTGGCCGCCACATCCGTAGAGCTACCGCGCTCAGAAGCTGAGGTTCCCCCTGCCAAACCTGTTAGCAGAACGATTACCTGCTACAAGTGCTCTGGACCCAACCATATGGCGAAGAATTGTACACAAGGACGTCAGGAGAGGTCAAACAGAACGCAGAGGTCTGGCGCGACAAGCGGTGTTTTCGATGCAATGGCATTGGACACATTTCCTCAGAATGCCAGGGAAATGCCCAAGGGGAGAAGGCATCAGCACCAGCCTTCTCCCGAGCAAGTAAAAACCTGGAAGTTACCCACCGTACAAGTATTTGTAGATGGAGTAGAGTGCACAGCTTTAGTGGATTCGGGATGCTCACAGACGCTGGTGAGCAAGATGTGTCGCTGCTGGAAGCAGGAAGAGGTGGGAGTGTTGACTGCCCGACGGGAAGACCCTGAAGTGCCGTGGATATGTAAAAAAATTAAGTTGGGCGTCGAGCAGATTCAGCCCGTGACTGTTGAGGTTCTGGTCGTGGAAGGGCAGTTGCTAGGGTTCGATCTTCTTCTCGGGATTGATGCAATCAAAGTGCTTGGAGGTGTACACCTGACCGAATCAGGCGAAGCGCGTTTTCGAAACCTGAACACATGTGCCGCCATTGTTATCAACAAGCCTGACTTTAGAGTGACGTTTAACCCAAGCACAAAAACGTGGACTGCATTGTGGAAGTGGGCAGTGGTCATTCACCTAGCAAGTTGGTCAATAAAGTACAGGAGTACACAGTACCTGGTACGTCCGGGATGCATACGATGAAGAACTAGCATGGTGGCAGTGAGATGGATGGCTACTGCCATATCCCGAGAAAGAGCTTGGCCCACCAAGGGGATTAATTCCTTTAATGGCGGTCGTACAAAAACACAAACAGAAGGTCGGCGGTATTTGACTATCGGGAGTTGAACGGCTTTGTAGACACATTTACGGCTGACTTGAGAGGTGTGTGTGCAGAAATTACGAGAATGGCGACGACAAGGAGCTGACATATCGCTGTTGGATTTGAGAAATGCGTGCCTACAGATTCACATTGACAAATCGCTATGGCCTTTTCAAACAGTGGTCATTAAGGGCAAACGGTTTTGCCTTACGCGTTTGGGTTTTGGCCTGAATGTGGCACCACTTGTCATGAAGTCAGTGATTGACATGATAACATCCCAGGATCAGGACATTAAGAGTGCCACGTCGGCATATCGTCGACGATATCTTCATAAATGAAGGCCTAGTTTTTGCAGCACGCCAGAAGACAGCACTTTGCAGATTACGGGCTAGTCTGTAAAGATCCGGAGCGATTGAGAGACGGAACTAAGGTCCTGGGTCTGCAAGTCTGGGAAGAAAGCAACTCCCGCCGATGGAAGCGGGAGGTCAGGTTCAGAAATTACTCAAATAGTGACCCATCCGGGTTGCGTATTTTCCTTGTGTGGGAAACTTGTGGGTCATTTCCCTGTGTGCGGTTGGCTTAGGGTGGCAACTGTATTTATTAAGCGTTATGCAAGTACACTAACCAAAGGATGGGACGACGAGATAAAGGATGCCCCTCTTGGACGTATGCTGGAGGAAACAGTGGCCAGAGTGTGGGAATCAGATCCTGTCGGTGGAGACTGGTGTGTGAACATCAATGAAATGACAGTTTGGGGGATGCAAGTTCCGTGGCCACAGGAGTAGCACTAGAGGTGAATGGGAGCGTCGTGGAAGATGCTTGCTGGTTCGTCCAACTAATGATGCCAGACACATTAATCTTGCTGAACTTGATCACGGTGATCAATCTGAATCTTGTCCTGCGCTGACACAAACCACCAGAGTGCCGATTCAGCGCTGGTTGGAGATGCACAGGAAAGGAGGAGAACCGGTGCAAATGTGAGTTGTGTCACTAGAGACACTGTGAGCCAGTTGAGCAACCCACGTCAGGTGACCCAGAACATCCACCAGCAGAGTGGGCACCCAGGTGTTAAAAGGAAAATGTACTTTGCTGCAACAAGCCAGGACTGTAGATCCCACATCCACCAGCAGAGTGTCTAAGGAACTGGTAAAATCTGTTGTTAGAACCTGTGAAGCCTGCCAATCGATCAATCAACACCAGTGCATTGGAAAAAAGGAAATTTGAGTGTGAGAAAAAAACTGGAGCAGGTTAGCAATGGACATGACCCATTACAATGGTAGCCATTTTCTTATACTCATTGACTGTGGTCCCTCCCGTTTTTGCAGTACAGCAGCCACTGAGATGGCAAGACTCTGCTGGTGTCATTCGTCAGCTGAGACAGTCTTCTATGAACAAGGCCTGCCGACTGAAATACTGACTGACAATGACACCATGTTCACTTGCAGACAATTTAGGAATTTGTAAACAGCTGGGGCGTGCATTTGAGGTTCGGTGCGCTTACGTGCCGTCTGGAAATGGCATTGTGGAGCGCAACCACAGAAGCGTCAAAACCATAGCGGCCAGGAAAAATTGTTCAGTCTTAGAGGCGGTTTACTGGCATAACATCACACCCAAGGACAACCTTTCACCTTCCACAGCACCCCTGATGTGACTGCACACATACCACGGGAACTTTGATTGGTAGCAGCTTTGTTGACGTTTTGCATAGGTGAATTACCAAAATATGTAAAGGGGGAATACAAGGAAAGGGGACATTGTCTGTGGTTAAGACTCCAACGTGGTAAAAAGAGACCAAATTTTAAACGGACGTGTGCAACCGCTAGGTGGTGAGTCAGCAGTCGGAAAGTGCGTGTCGATGGAACACCTCTCATGTTAGAGACCTGGACTTTTTGGGTTCAAATGATGAAACTGACTCTGAAGAAGACACGGAGGATATACATCCACTGAGTGGATTCAACAACCAATCACTCCGATAGCAATGGTTTTGCCAATAGATGGGACGTATCTAATGGATGAGAGCTCCTCTGATGAAGAAGTTCAACCAATCCCCCTGCGGGAAGGAGTGCCCGGAACAAAAGACTGTATCCTCACTGTCATCTGTGTGATCAGGAGACAGGGGGATGTGTGGCGGACATGAGACAGAACCTGGGACGAGCACAACTGGTATGTCACTTGCCTTGTCCCCGCCAAAAAAGAGCCCCATTTGCTTAGCATGTAAAGCTTTACTGCAGTTGAAATGGGGGAGAGTAAAAAGCACTTACCGCTCTGCCGTAATCCATCCTCGGCCAGTAACGTAAAAAAGAATGAGGGGGACTGGCATTGGTTTTTATGCAATAACGATGCAATGCATTATGGGACATGGACGCAATGAATTTTGGGATCACATGAAGATGGGGATTATGGGTATATGAACAACTATAAAACAACTACATTTTTTTCCGAGTTGGGGAGTTCTTCGAGTGATGTTCACGGTTGACGGCAAGAACGGGCAGTTAGTGTGATTTGGAGACAGAACTCAAGAAGGAACGACTCAAGGTTGAAATACCAGCTGGGAGAGCTTGAATTTACTCGCTGGTTACTGTTTTCTTCATTCGCCTCAGAATCACTGTTGAATGTTGGGTTATTCAAACAGGATTGAACATATAATGAAGGTTTTGTGTGTTGTTGCTCGTATAGCAATGGTTTGCACATTGGTATCCAGGTTGATTCGACGATGTAGTATGTCATTCTCAGTGAGGATTGATGTTCCATCTGAGGCATTTTTAGTTGTGGTTGGAGGCTTGGTTATATGATGAATAGTTTTTTATATTGATTTCTTCATCATCTTTTAGGTGGGTTTCTTGTAGGCCGACAATAGTAGGATTTAGGTTTATTAATAGTATAATCAGGTCATTTAGATTAGGTTTAAGGCTATGGTAGTTCCATTGTATTATTTCATTTCCCATGGTTATTGTTTAGAGTTAATTTATGTCAGTCTGTGTGTAGTTGTGGCTTATTTGTCTTCAGTTTCCATTTTTTCCAAGGGACAGTATTTGTGTTTGGAGCTTTTTTTTCTTTGAGATTTTTTTTGTTTTAGAGGCTGGTGTTGTGTGTCTTCTTGGGTTTTGTCTATTATTTTTTTGGTAGGTGGTCTTGTTCTTAAGGTTGTCAGTGAAGAGCTTCTAGATTGTGATGGTGGTTGAGATATTGATCTTTCTCTTTTTAGTTCTATTTTTGGTTGAAATGAGTTTTTTGTATTTTTTGGTGTTTCTTCATTTAGGCTTGATATAAGTTTCTATTAAAATTATAAGTTTGTTGATTGGTGCTGTTAATTCTTCTAGTTTTCTTTTTATTGTGTTGAACTCTTGATTCTTGTTTTGGTGTTGTGTTTTAGTTGCATTAGCATAAATTAGTGAAAGGATTTTTCTAGGGTAACTTTCTATTATTTTCTAACTCCTGGGAAAGTTTTTTTCTGTATTTAATTTATACTATTTCTTTTTCTCTTTGCCAAGCTTTGCATATTCATGAATATGCCAGATGATTTCTTTGCACAGTTGGTACATTAGATTGGAGCCTTGTAGTCAGTGTTTCCACAAGAGTGATGATTTTGCTATTGGAGTTTCTTTAAGTGATTCCAGCACAATGAATTGGAGATAGGTTTCATTGTGTTCAGGTTCATGTTCATAACTGAATTTGATGTGGGGTCTTTTGGTTTTTTGTTGTACCATAATATTTTTATTTTGTCATCCTTGCTCCCTATCTGCCCTGTAGTCTGAACATGTTTAATGTCTTGGGGGGGAGAGAGCAAAAAAATACCATTTTTAAAACCATCCCAAGGATACAAGGATGGTATACTCATATCAGTGAGTAGTTGCATCTGTGGGTTCTTTCATTCCTCCTCCCTGAATAGCTGGGTCTTCTCTTTGCTTGTTGACTGACCATTGCCACTGCTTTGTAATAGTATGTATGTTGGTTTGTGTGTATATGCATATATTTATTTGGTACTAATATGTGTACTCTAGGATATGGTAGTGGTATTTTTGTTTTGGTGTGTACACAGATATTAGGCCTTGTCATGACTACTCTGAGTAGAGGCCAAAGAGGAGTGTTGCAGTTCACATGACTGTTTTTTTCACTCAAGTCATGGACTGCTCATCCACCAGGATCATCACAGGTTGCCACCCACAGCAAACGTGTGTCTTCAATGAAGGGGTGGGTTGGATCTTACCCCTCTGCAGAGGTGCTATTGTATTATTTGGATGAAGTGCAATACTGTATATATTATGAGAATAAATTGTAGATCCACTTACCCTGTCTGTTAAATTGACATAAGCTCCTTTAGCAATCAATGCTTGGGCAATTTCTGTATATCCTTCTTTTGCAGCTATGGCCAAAGCCGTGAAACCATCCTAAAAAAAAAAAGAAGCACTTTATTGCTATTAAATATGATTAACAGGTTTTCTACTTGTAAACGTTTTCATAAAATTAGTTATTGGGGGGGGAGTAATAAATATAAAAAAATATTTCTGCCATGACTTTAATAAAAAAAAACATTTATAATAATTTTGATCATCTGAGAATAGTTCCTGAAAGTTTCATTAACATCCGACAATTATTTATATTTTTGCAAGATTTTCCAAATTAATGTGCGTTTGAAAGTATGACATGCAAATAAGGAAAGTTTTAAATATGTAATTGTAAAAGGTGTAAGCTTCAAAATAATATAAGTTAAAACAAATAGTAAAATTTACAATCATTGTAAAACTTTATTTAACTCTTGAAATTGCTTTTAATGGAATATATACAATATAGACTTCATATTTTGTGTTTTATTTATCCATATAATAACAAAATTATATTTTTTAAGGACATTGAAATGGTTTTAAGATAGTATCATTTTGTGCAGAGTTGGTGTTCCACATTTGTTTTTGTTACGCTAAATTAACAACTTCAAATTTCTGTGCACTATCATATAACAAAAAACAAAAAGAAATTTGAAGGTGGTATCAACTAAATAACACTGAAGTTCCTCACAAGAAAGTTGTTGATATCAACTCTGAAAGGAAGCATGTATATTTAATCTATTATGATGATACATTTCTTTATATGATATAAACATAGGTACCTCCACAAAAATTGCTAAAAAAAAAAAAAAAAAAAAGCATAGCTTGATGAAAAAGACGCCAACCTTGCCGAAAACAAAATTTTATCGTCTAAATGCTTATGTTATTATTAAGAGGAAAGACTAAAGTTTTTTTAATTATTTTAAAAAATTTTTCCTTCTTTTTAGAACATTGTAAATTTTAATTAAAAAAAACCTTGTTTCTCTTTGTATGAGAGGAACTAGTAAATAACATAGACAATTTTTAGCATGTTTTTTTGGTATGACACACATTAATTTGGAAAATCTTGCAAAAATATAAATAATTGTCGGATGTTAATGAAACTTTCAGGAACTATTCACAGATGATCGAAATTATTATAAATATTTTTTTTTTTTATTAAAGTCATGGCAGAAATATTTTTTTTATATTTATGACCCCCCCCCATAACTAATTTTATGAAAACACTAGAAATTCGATAGAGTCTAGTTTAATGATTACAATAGTTAAAAGCACAAGGCTTTGAGGAATGCAAATCATGTTTTTTTTTTGTTTTTAATTGGACCCCCTCTACCTGAAAATCAGCTGTGAATTGTAACATACAATACTCAATAAAACAAAGATATTATTTAATTTCAAATGCTTTTATTTGCTTTTACTTGTTTTATGAATATGGACAATATTTTCTGAAAGCAAAAAATTTTTCGATGAAAAATGAATTTTTAATACAATTATTTGTTATTTTTTTAATTATAATAGATTTTTACATTTAATTTTTTAAAATATTATAAAATTAGTTAAAAGCAGTATCCACTTTCGTAAATGTCTTTATGAGATATATCTTTTTTTACCACATTGTAAATTGTATCGTTTTGACTAATCAGAAGACCCGCAGTAATTAAGAAATGTAATTTTGTGCTTATAATCAGGCTGTAATTATAAAGTACAGAAGACCAACCAGAATATAATTAAGTTGCGTTATTTGAGTTAAGCATTGTTCTCCGCTGTTAAGGCCTTTACTTTTGCCAAACACGTGTGGAGAAGTTAATTTGATTTTTCAATTTCAACTGAGAAGGGTACCTACAAGTATCAGTATCATCTTATGAAATTTATGATCTTATTTTTATATCAATCTCAGTTATGACATTTTTCCATAAATGAAATATCAAAATTAATAATAAAATGAATGGAAATACAAATAACACAGTAAAATGTAATAAATGTACATAAAATTATAGTATTTTGTGTACACTTCTGATAAAATTTCATCAGAAAGGTACCTATAAATTAATTAGATAGCTTTCTTATGAAATATGAAATTTAATGTCACTCTTAACAGTCTTATTTTAATTTCTTTATAATATATTTTCCATAAAGCATTGTAAATGTAAAGGTGAAAGTAAAAAAAAAAAAAAAAAAAAAATTAGAGCACTGAAAGTTTTCCTTAAAAATAACGAGGTAAATAATTTGTTCACTTAAATGTAAATTATTTCACTTTTCTCCTTCTGTAGAACAAATTAGCCTCATGGAATCCATCAATATGTCATTCATCACCTGTCAAGTGACGCGAAAGTCTATGACCTGCTTTGTTTTATTTTCAAATTACATCTTTTCGGCGCAAAAGCTAAGTTAAGCTTGGTTCAAAATATTTTAAATAAACATTATAATTTCTGATTTTCTTAAAATAAGTTTTAAAAAAATGATAATTGATATTTAAAAAAATTTCAAAGTGAGATTTCCAGTTTTTTTATAAAATGGAAAAAAATGGTCAATTTTGCTGACTCAAAAAAAAAAAGAAAAAAAAAAAAGATTTTTAACAAAAATTTCGGACGTGCTAGGAACGATTAAAAAATGTAAAAAAAACACCCCCAAAATATGTTGATCTTTCATCTTAATAATAACATTTAGATGATAAAATTTTGTTTTTATCAAGTTTGGCATCTTTTTCATCATGCTATGCTCTTTTTTTAGTGATCTTGTGGAGGTACCTAAATAAACAATACTGTCATTAAAATATGGCAGAGTAAAGATGCTGCATAAAACAATGTATTTACCTTGTCAACTGCATTAACATGTGGATCCTTTTCAAGCAGTTTGTGAACAATCTCAGCAAAACCTCCGCGTGTTGCTACTAATAAGGCTGTCCAGGAATTCTATAGTTCAAGGAAAACAGATCAATTATTATCTAGAAATAAAAAGGCACTGTCAAGATATAAAAATGTTAAGATTTGGAGGTTATTAAGTTGAAAATATTTGATTTTGATTCTTTATCATAGATAAGAAATTTATCTCATATTTCTTCATCTTATGTCTTTTGCAAAACTTGGTTATTAGAAATTTTATAAAATCAAAATAGAATTTTATGCATAAAGAAAGACATTTTATTTTGTATATATGGAAATAGAAAAGTGTCAAATTGAAATTGAGCTAGTGTTGAAATTAATGAAATTTTGAAATGAATTGTAAATATTGTTTTTGTAAAAGTTTTTTCTTACATTAAAAAGGGAGAAATAAACAATATTTTTAAAAGATTCCAATGTACAATTTTTTTAAAATATAAATAAAAAATGCAATAATATGCAATGGTTAAAAGGCAAAAGAAAACATGGATATATCTATATTTAGGATTTCTTTTTAAATCTACAAGGGAAGAAAGCATTTAAATATTTGTTAGTAAAACAAATGTGGAATATCTTATATTTTTTGTTTTTAGACTGATTATTAATTTATGGATATTAAATTTTCAAATTATATTTCCACAAAAACATTTTAGAAAAATCAATTCCATGTAATTTAGGAAATTGTTTAAGAAATTGTAGAAAACAGGAATTCCTGATTTAATGACATGTTATAATTTAGCTGAATTATACTAAAAAATTTTATGTGACATTATTTTATACAATTTTATTTTCATATTTAACATTATTTGAGAGAAAACTGGACTAGAATTATGGGAATTCAAACAAAACCATCATGTATTGTGTCTGTTTGACAGTACTAACAGTTTTAACAGTGAGGATGCAATGGAACAATGTATTCAGATTCAATAAAGTGGAAATAAATTGATTTTTGCTCAATATCTTTTCATGTTAAAAATCTTATGTGTTTAATATAACAATGTAATAGAGATATCTCTCAGAAGAAAAAAGATTAGCAACAGAATGACAAAGAAGGCAACAATAAAGCCTATTTTAAGATCAAGTGAATAGATCACTTAATAGATAAAAGGTATCTGAGTGTCTCATGCAAATAAGACTAAAATCTAAGAAACATGGGAGTAAAGGAACTGATTAAACAGCTCATTTGCTTGGGAACTAATTTTGTCTAAATGCAGATAAATATTTTATTTGTATTGATTACACTTGTCAACACATATTTTGCTGCAAGGATGGAAAAACTCTTTCTTGGTTAATTTGAAGGCACCGAATCCAAACATGATGTCCATTTTTTTCATATGAAAAATCGTTTTCTCTGTACCAAAATGTCTCATTTTGGCAAAAATTTACATTTTTCATTTTTTCCATTGAGTGAATAAAAATCTAAAATAATCAACTTAAATCAATCATTATTAATGAAAAGTAATCTGATATTTCAATGATGAATGATAGCTCTATAAAAAGTAGAATCCATTTATTAGATTTTACTATAACCTGACCATTTTTATAAGTAAGTAACAATATGTATAGATATTTCAGTACACATTGGTATTAAAACTATTAAGGGCTATTCATAATCAAGCTATTCCCAGACTTATCAATGATATACCATGTGTGTATTTTTTGCACATACTACATGATTATAAGCATAATATAAGATTAAGGTTTGATGTTGTATGAGTTTATTGATATATAATGTTAAGTATGAATTGAAGACAAAAGTCTTCTTTTACTTTAACCTCCAAACACAAAGTTATTATTACACTTTGTTTTATTCCTAGAATTTAATACCAAGGCTATGACTTCAAGTAGAGGATGCAAAAACAATCCAGACTTCTGTTACATTATATGTGGTGAGTTTACAACAATAACAGAAAATCAATCGATGATTTTGTCAGAAAAGCTTATGCTTACTTTGAAGTAAAGCTGGGTGATCAGGACAAATCATGGGCACCACATATTGTCTGTAAAATACCAGTGGACTAGAGGTATTTGAACTTCACTTAAATTTGACATTCCGATGATTAGGCACAAGTCATAAAATCACATTGATAACTGTTATTTCTGCTTAATTGATGTTGCTGGCTTCAACAAGAAGAAATGAAAATTTGTGAACTATGCTTCTCTCAATTCAGCTATCAGACCTGTACCACACTCCAATGAAATCTCGATTCTTGTCTTCAAAGGCTTTACGTCTAGCAACATTGAAGAATTGAACCATGAATATGTGAATGATTTTGTTGACATGGACAAGAATGATAATGACAATGATTTTGAGGTGTTATTATCTGAACTGATAAAAGCTGAATGACTTAATCAGGGATTTGAATTTATCTAAAGAATCAGTGGAAATCTCAGCTTCAAGACTGAAGGAGAAAAATTTCCTTATGGAAGAAACAAAAGTTACATTTTATTGCATTAGAGATGCTGAATTTGTCTCCCACTTCAAACAAGCCAATGAACTTGTATATTGTAATGATGTACTATGTTTTGCTGTGTCTTGGTATTCATGACTTTGATGTGAATTCATGGAGACTATTGATAGCTCATTTGCTACACAACACCAATGTATACACATCAATACCAATTTGAAATTCCAGTTCTGAAAGAAAAGCATGAACCCATCAAGGAGGTAATGGAAAGAATAAATTACTTTCATCATATCTGAGTGATTTGTGTTGACCTGAAAATGGTTAACTTTTTACTTGGGCAGCAATCAGGCTACACAAAGTTCCTAGGCTCCCTTTTTTTACAGGACAGTAAAGCCAGAGACCAACAATGGGGATAGAAGAGAATGGCTGATCAGAGTAGAAATGAAAGTCAGAGAGAAAAATGTGATAACTGATGTGCTAGTCTTCAGAGACAAAATCATCTTCCTTACTCTCCATATCAAATTAGAACTCATGCAGCAGTTTGTGAAAATGCTTGACAAGGAAGGCCAATGTTTTCAGTACATTTCCTAGTCATGGCATAGAAAAACTGAAACAAGGTATTTTTGATGGACTTGACATTCGAAAACTTTGTCAACTCTATGAATATCACTGAATGAAACAACTAGATTTTATTTGTTTCTGTAGTAAAAAAAAAAGAAAAAAAAGAAGTTCTTGGTAATAGCAAGAAGGATGACTATAGAGAACTAGTCAACAGGTTGTTAGCAAACTACAGGAGCTTGGTGCTAACATGAGTATCCAGTGGATAAACGCCTTGGTTGAATCCAGTGACATGACCCAAAGAGGTGATCAAAAAAAAATTCCGGAAGAGGCATGGCACACGGAACTAGAACAATCTACACTGGTGGACGAAATATGGGGGTTCAGTTTGAAATTCGAATCACCTGAAGCAGGCCAGAGCATAAAATGGCTGAAACATCTGAATATGGCAACAAAGAAAATGTAAATAGTGTAAATAAAACTGGATCATTCGTAAAAAAAAAAAAAAATCTTTCCATGATTTTTTTTAAACTTCATATTTATTCTAATTTGTGTTTTGATGTGCTTTTCTTCTTGCAACTTAATTTGATTTGAATAGCTGCTCATTTTTTGCTTTTCAAACAAATGACTTAAAAATAAGCAGTTTTCCTGTTTTGAAGCAAGAAAACTAGACCTGAGAAAAATGATGACAGCTATTCAAACTCAGCGTCATGAAATTGATTAAAATTAGCTATATCCTTGGTACTATTTAGTGTGATTAAAACGCCTAAGGGAAGTAATCACTCATAAATTTACTAACTTAAATGGATTTACCTCCCTTCGCACTAGAGGTAGGAATTAAATACACATGATCTCAAGTTATCTATCCTTCGCAATGTCAATCAATGTCATTTGAACCGTGATTGTTTTGGGATGAAAAGCAACAAACAACTTTTTATGAATTTTTGTAGCAATGGCTAATGTCTACTTGTTACAGTGGAAATAAATAATTTACAGTTAATAATTACTGCTGAGAGTATTTACCTTTATATTTAAATCCAATGGAAAGTTTTAAAAATTATCTGATTTGTATCAAGGAATAAAACTTTTAAAAATTAATTTTAATAAGAAATTACAATAATTATTTGAAATTTTCTTGAAAATATTTGCTTTTTATCAGAGCCATCTGGATACGAACAAGGTTTCAGGACATTTTTCAAGACTTACCATTCCAGTTATATCTACATCAGACCCATTTTCCAATAATAATTCTACAATTGGCATGTATCCCTTCCGAGCTCCCCACACAAGAGACGTTGTTCCATACTAAAAAGTGTGAGAGAGAAAAGGATTCAAAATTCATTAAGCGAGACAGAAAACAGACTGAAGAAAGAAAACAACAATCCTACTTTTGTGAAGACATCATAAGTTTTTGTCATCACATGGATATTTGCATAAGTAACAAATTAATGTGATATAAAATGGCACTTCTCAATCTAAGCTAAAAACAACTTCTATATTTAAGAGAGAAAACTAATTTAAAAATTAATGAATTTTATACTTTATAACATGAAAGGAACTTATAAACAGTTTTCATAATGTACACCATTTCAGAAATACTGAGGTTTAGCCATCATATAAAACAATTGTTAGAATTATGCTTCTTTGGGTGAAGGAGATATTTTTTAATAAATTCTATAAAAAAAAAAAACAAAAAAAAAATGATTTACAAGAAAATTAAATTTTGCTTTCATTTTGTTAAATGGCTTTTGTTTTACTTTGTAATGACAACAATTTCCAGCACAATGCAAAAATTCAAATTCATATAAACATATGGGAACAATTATGTAAGTGGTTTGTTTTTAGAAATATGCAATAGGTATACAGGAAAGTAATTTAAGGAAAAAAAGTAAATGCAAAACAATACCTTATCTGTAGCATTGACTTTAGCACCATAAGTCAATAACTCTCTGACTATTTCTTCATAACCCCGACCAGCAGCCCAGGCAAGACATGTCATATTATACTGAAAGAAAAAATACAAGATTATTAATTAAAATTTTTTTTTGTAGCAGATGATATTAAAAATTAGTGTTTATTTATATTAAAAGTTTAATAAATACTGAAAACAAAAATGAAACTTTTTAAAAATTAAACTTCACTTTCATCATTACCTCAAAAATAATTTAATTTCAACGATTGCTACATAAGATGATTTTCAACAGTTTTAGTATCATTGTCTTATAAAACAGTAATTGAGTGACAATATGTTTCTGAATTTATAAAGATTTCTCTTTTTTATTATGAAATTATCTAAAAGATGGCAGTTTAATGTGCACTTTCATTGTCAACAAGGCTGTTTATAAAACACTTTTTTTTAACAAAGATAATTGAATATAAAATTTGATAACTATGGCTTTCCATAAGTTGGCATTTTTGGAACAGTTGCTTGAGAATGAAATCATGATGGCTGAATTTTTAATTTACATTAGTGCCAATATAAAACATGTTTCCAAACATTATTTCTCATGAACAAAAAGATAATGATGATGATAAAGTTAATAAACTGTATAATGTCGAAACATATAAAACTAACCTTTTATCCTCTTTTAGAAACTTGCTATATGTACGTAGGTGACTATACTTTCCACACATTTTCATGATTTAATTTATTGGAACATTACATTGAAATAGAACATAACAAATGCATAACAAAATTATGTATCAGAAATTTTTGTATTGATTAATTCACACCTTAGTGCCCACAAATGTATTTTGTTACTATTACAGCCTCTGGAAGTTTTTGTGAATGAAAAAATTTTAATGAGGCAGGGAACCTTTTTTAGCAGTAAAACCTATCATTACCTCAGCTTTTATGTTACAGTTAGAACCTTTCTGTAACAGTTCCCGCACAATAGTGAGGTGACCATGGTAACAAGCCCACATCAATGATGTCCACCCACACTGAAATAGAAAATGACAAATTGACCAGTATAAATTTAAAAAAAAAAAAAAAAAAAAATTTTTATTAATGGCTAGTGACATTTCTGACATGAAGTTCAGATACCAACCCCAAGAGGAAACATTATGATCAGCATTTGTAGCAGATAGCTTAATATCCAGATCCTCCTTTGAAATAACAAAATATAAAATGAGGTTTTGGGCCTGTCATCAGGCTAGAAGGGAGACAATGAGCAAGAAGCAGTAAGATTCTTTCTTTTTTTCTTTTTTTACATTAACAACAATACACATTAAACACACTGATAAATAAAGACTGCACAAAAGGAAAATGAGTAGGAATATGAAAAAAAGAAAAGAAAAAAAAAAGACACGCCCTCCCCTCAAAAAAAGCACATAATTATAACATTTTATGGAACTTGTGGAACATATTTGGTAATAAATAGAATTATTTTCAAAGTTTTTTTTAAAACCATTTTAGAAATATTTTTAAGTCTGACATTGAATTAAAATATACATGTGCACAGACACACATACACAAACATAATTTGAATGGATCTCTGTGTTATGATGAATTTCTTTTCTTGTAACAAATATAGAAGTCTTAAATATAGAAGTTGTTTTTAGCTTAGATTGAGAAGTGCCATTTTATATCACATTAATTTGTTACTTATGCAAATATCCATGTGATGACAAAAACTTATGATGTCTTCACAAAAGTAGGATTGTTGTTTTCTTTCTTCAGTCTGTTTTCTGTCTCACTTAATGAATTTTGAATCCTTTTCTCTCTCTCACATTTTAGTATGGAACAACGTCTCTTGTGTGGGGAGCTCGGAAGGGATACATGCCAATTGTAGAATTATTATTGGAAAATGGGTCTGATGTAGATATAACTGGAAAAGAGTATAAACTGAAATGTGTGACCCTTTGATATCATTTTTATGAGTTCTTCTGTATTTAAACTGAATATATTTTCTTATAAATGTAGTATTTTAAATAGACAATTTAGATTTGACATTTGATCATCTTGTTTTCAGCAAATCAATAGATACCAAACCAGTAGATATAAAAAAAAAAAAAGCTGTAAAGTTTATGAGGAATAAGATTTTCAATACACACACACACACACGATAATCATTATATGATGATAGGTGTCTATTGTGTAGGAACCACATTAGTTTGGTGAAGTTTAGCAACTGACATGCCATCAGTAATCAGAAAACCTCTGGAGAGATGTTGAGCCATGTTGTTAAAATAACTGTTTGATATTTGCAGATACAGGATCTTGTGTGCAAACAGGCCACTTCACTACACCGTATATGATGTTTGACTAGGGCTCATGTGGTGGTCATACCATTCATCAGAAGTATTCAGAATACTCCTGATTGAAGATGTAGGTGATACTTTAGGTTAAGGGTGTTCACACTGACTCACCAGATGTCAGAGCACAACTTATATATACCTGGGAATTTCACTTGTCGTTACCTTTACATACTGCAACCCCATAACTTTTGGCACATCAGTGTACATGTGTGTGAGTTTTTGTAAATAAAAGTTTACCCATTTATTTTAATATCAAAATAAAGAAGAGCAATAGCTGATTTTGTAATACTGACAGAATCTATGAAATTTTAAAATATAATTTATATGCAGTAAAATGAATAAATGACTTTGTAATAAGAATTTTAATCTGGTACATGACATGCAAGATTAGTATAGCAATCACTACATTTTGAGTAAGAGTGAACAAGATACATAATTTTCTTAAACATTTTCTGAAAAAAATGTTACATTTTAAAAGGACAGTAATCATATGATGGGGGTGCAGAAAGTTCATGTTCTGATCAAGAGGTCATCGCAAAAAAACTTTGATGTTTAGCCATTTGGTCCTGTTTTGGGGTATAGTTTGAACCAAGAATTTTCAGTATGTCCTTGTATACTAGTTTTTTTTTTTTTAATCATTTCACCCTAAGCATGACAATAAAGTCCACTAGGATGCAAGAGGTTACCGAGAGTGGAAAAAATTGAGAGGAAAATAAAAGGTCAAGATTCAAGAAGACAGAAGATGATAACTAACATTTAAATTTTTGAAGATCCTAGTTGACAGGAAAACAGGAGGTTGGAAGAGAACTCCATAAGTGAGAAGTGTGGGAAAAGTAATCCATAAACCTATGGTTGAAATTATTAACATTAACCTATGGTTATGGTTAATAATTTCAACAGTGAAATTACGAGACCTAGCTGCCAGGTATATTAAACTCTTAGTAAAAGCTTGGTTTTATTAAAAGAAGATCATTATCAATATTACCAGATCTCTGTGGTCAAGTGCAGCATCTTTTTCTAAGATTTCAATTACAATTTCCAAATGTCCTTCTTTTGCAGCATACAAAAGAGCTGTCCAGTTTTCCTAAGAAAAAAAAAAAAAATTTTCAAAATGAAAAAAAAAAAAAAAAAAAAAATGAACCAATAAGAAAGAAGTACTTTAAATAAAAGGCTGACATTATGAATATGCATCTTTTTTTAAAGTTAAAAAAATGTAAATGCTAGTGAGCAATTTTGCTAGAATACCTCTTCTATGACATCTTCATTATATCTCAAAATACTACAACAAATGCATAATTTTGTATATAGTCATGTGTGCGTATATGCTCAAAACACAAGAAAAACATGCCTGATTGAAAAAATTTAACAGAAAGGTTAAAAATAAATGAGTATAACATTGTGTTCTTTACATTTCTGAAATTTTTTAAGATTTATTAATGACCTGAATTTATATTGAGAAAATTTAATTTTATTGATATATGAAAATGTTTTGTAAATGAGAAGTAGTAACATTACAGAATATATGATTTATATTCCTTGAGGAAGGACTTTCAATTATTGTTAAATACTCTGTGGATTTATAAATTAAAATAGAATATTTAAAATAATTTGAAACCTTAAGTTATATATATTATCATTTTACCAATTAAGTTCAAAGTCTATTGCTAATATAAAAAATAGTTTTCAACTTCACTACCATGGTTTTCCAATTATTACTATATAACTGATAATGAAAAATATAGATAATAGTAACATTTAGTGGCTGCAGCTATGCAAATTTATACGACATTAAGCTATCATTACACTTGTTGAAAAGAGGGACTTGTTTTCTTTTCCATGTTTCAATTGAAGTAGAAGCATCTAAATGTACACATGTGAATCTATGACCCTCATTGGGTTGTCAACTATGTCATACACTGGGTATGGCAGTAATCTTTGAAGGGTTACCCCAATTGTAAAGCTCTCCTTCCACATTCCTTAAACTGATTTGGATGATAATGATCACATATATTGAGTTTGATTCATTTATTTAACTTCATCTGTTTAATCCTTTTCTTGAATCAATAGTTAGTGAAAGGGTATGGAAGGAGAAACAATACTAACTTTTGATACCTGGCCTTTATTGTTTTGCACAAAAGTGATTTGCTTTTTCTTCACCGTGGACTACATGACAAGAATGATGAAATTCAGATACAAGGGAAGTCACTTACATTATCAACATCATTAACATCCATATTTGCATCGAGTAGTTCACGTACAATGTTCAGCTCGCCTTGTTCTGCAGCCAACATCAAATAAGTGTGTCCCTCCTGAGAGGAAAAAAAAAAAAAAAAAAAAAAAATCATCAAAGGCTTATGACAAAAATAATGATTTTAAAAAAATGAGTGCAAATTAATCACTTCATTGACAAGCTTAATGATTTAAAAATTAAAATAAAAGTTCTGTATTTAATCTTTTTGAAGAAATCTTTCAAAATTTTTAACTTATCTTTAGTGATTTGAAATATAATTTTTCCACATTTTTCCATAACTTTTCATTTAATACACTGAATTCAGCCTTTCCAAGTACTTTTAATGCTTCTTTTATTCCATTTGTAGGAATTTCTTTCAAATCAATAAAGAGAAAAATGTTTTTCTCATGGTTGCTACACAGCATTTTCTACTTACTGCATCACGTTCCTCCAAGTTAATATTTCCATTCTCAAGGAGCCTAACAACATTGCAAAGATCACCCTCATTGATGGAATGCCGCAGCATATCCCCTTTGAATGTAGTCAGTGCCATCTTCACTTCGTTCTTTCACTTCTGCCTCTCAAAGTAAAGGGATACTTAAATGTTTGGTTGAGCTAAAGCAAATAATGTAGGCAGTTCTCTCATCCTGGAAAAACAATCAAGTTATTAGGTGAGTGTAAAAGTTTCCAGCATTTTTAAACTATTTTATTTATTAAAAAAAATTAAATGAAGTTTTGTACTGTCTTTAGCTTTTAAAAATGGGATGGCTAGGAACTTTTGCACATACCTAATATTAAAGTTATTTATACAAGAAGTTTATTTCATTTCATCATAAATATTCTGGGCTCTCCACATTGCTTCTGTACAGTTCCAGATTTGAGTTTGATGTAGGATTGATATTGAATTCTCTGAGAGTGAAAGGACTAAATAACAATAAATATTCTGATTAATATGAAATGATGCAAATATTTAGGAATATTGACACAAGCCTAATAATGTAAAGTTTTATTTGAAATGAAATTTATAGAAGGTTATAAGAGTTCAGTTTTCTGAACTTTTTTTTAATTGATCGTAAATAACTGATTAAAAATACCACAATACACCAAAATAAATAAATCAATGAAAAGTTGTTTTCAAGAAATATATGCATGAAAAAATTTATAAAGGATGAAAAGAAAAATGTGAATGTATGAATGTACATTGCATCAATGTACATTTTTTTTTTTTGTAAAAATGTCAATTTTACAATGTTAAAAAAAGATTTTCTCAAAAATTTTTCATCAAATATAAAAATATCTATCATTAATACAGAGATTCATTGAAAATTAAAATCTAATTTACAAAACTTATTGGTTCTATTTTCATTTATTTTTTTTTAATAAATTTCTTCTTTTAAAAAAAAATATTTAGTTAGACTGACGTTTTCATATTTGTGATGATCGTGATTAGTTGTGCATGTTGGTCTTCATTAAGTCTCTGCTGCTGGTCCAGGTAATTTTCAGGAAATTTTGAAATGAACTCTATTCAATTTACAGAAGTAAATTGTTCTCATTCTGCTGTCAGTGTCTAGGGATATCTTGTTTTGGTTAATGTTTCAGAAGTATGTAAAATCTTCAAGAATGGTTTGCAAATTGTTCAATCATATAATAATAGCTTCAAAATAAAGCTAAGTTATATAACAAAAATAAATTATTGTCAATTCAAGTTTAGAAAAAGTCAGTAGGTTATAAAGTTTATGCAAAGGACATTTTATACTTTCTCTAAATTTTAAATTTGATCACAATTAAAATTTAGAAGAAATGTTTTGTATGAGTTTTAATAATATCTTTTAAATATTAACTAGTTATTACCTTGTTTGATAAATAATTGACAGATTTGTAATATTTTTTATTATTGATTATTATTCTTCAAATATTTTATCTTCAAATCATATTGAAAAAATACAATGTTGTAGTAATATTGACATTTCTTGGTTTAATAGCAGCAAATATTATCCTTCAAAAAAAGAAGTAAAAAAAGTAGTTGACCAGTGTATTTCTGGAAGCTAACACTTTTAAGGAAAGCAGTTTTTGTAATTAGCATTTAATATCTAGAAATAAAGCATTAATATCAACAAATAAAATAAAAATAAATAAAATAAAACCAAATAAAATTTTATTTGTTGGTTTATATAATTCAGTAAATGTGTAAAAAAGAAAAATTGTGCAAGTCAAATATAATAATTGTTTTCTCTTGGTTTGAATATATTCAACATTATTGAAATTAATAAAATCCCTTCAGATGCATTGATAAGTAAATCTATTAAAAGTATTTGTAAGAATTTAAAAAAACAACAAATGTAGACAAAAAAAAAATGACCTGTGTTTTTGTTTGCATTGTGACGTGTGAAGAAAAGTGGATCCTTTACAACAACTAACAATGTTTGGTTAAGTAGTTGAACTGAAATGAAGCTCCTAAACAATCTGAAAGCTGAAGTTGTACCAAGAGAAGATTATAGTGACTGATTGGTGGTCTACAGCTTTCTGAATCCTGGTGAAACAATCACTGCAGATGTGACGATAAATATTCACACTTACTGGAGTCGAAGCATCCAAGATGTTTTGCTTGTCGGGCTGCTGTTTTATGATGGATATGTGCATAAACCCAAGCTAGACAGTTTGTCATTTCGTCAGCTGCATCCTTTCCTCTCGCAAGTGTGGTCCGAGAAAAGTAAATTCTCTGACATTTGTTGATTTTATGCTGCTTGGCACGATTTGTCTGGTGGCAGTCTGCATGCTGGAGAACGAGGTGAATGGCGATGATTGGTGCGTGGGCCATGTTTTTGGTCAATAAAAACGGTCTGGGAGTGCAACTGGGACCATGGTGACGTGCACTGCTATAGAGGTTCGTATTAAGTTACGACTGTTTATTTTTGTCTGGGAGCTGGACGCTAGCTTCAAACCTAGCACTAGAGTGAGCGGTGTAATTATTGGTGTCTACCGAAACGTGGGAAAAACACACTGAACTGCAACAGCAGAGAAGGAAGTATTGTCATGAAATTGATGAAGTGCATAAGAAATTGTATCCAGCATTGGGCAACAAAAAAAGGTCCAATCTCTTTACACAACAATGTTTGACAACACATCTCACAGCCAATGCTCTAGAAGTTGAACAAATTGGCCTACAAAACTTCATCATACAACATACTCACTGGACTTTTCACTGAATGACTACCACTTTTTCAAGTATTTGATAACTTTCAAAGAAAAGTTTTTGACAATGAAACAACCACAAAAAATGCCTTCAAAGAATTGTTTGCCTCCCGAACATCAGAATTCTCAGTTACTGGAATAAATAATTTTGTATTTTGTTGGCAAAAACGTGTAGATTGTAATAATTTTTATTTTGATCAATAAAGTTTATTCTTATATGCTATTTTAAAGTCAATGTTTAAAAACCAGCATTCATTTTTAATCTGATAGATATGATTTTTTTGTCTATATTTCTGGGATGAGGTATTGTAACTATTTATATATTTATATTATACAGACTGTTGTCCTTATCTTTATTATCATATTCACAACTTTTTGGCAGTTGTACACTCTGGCCTTCTTCAGGTGATATATGTCAAAGTAATCCAGTGATTTGTCCCAAAAAGTTGTGAGTTCAATACCTGGCCACAGCAAAGGTGAACAAAAACTTGGTAAGTTGAATTATTAAAGGAAAATAACTGAATCTGAGATAACCAGAAAAGGCATGGAATGTGGTACTAAAACAATCTAGTGAATGAAATAAAGGGCTAAGTTACTAATTTCAATGTATATTACCTGAAAAAGCCGACATGTACAATGACTGGAACATCATGAATATGACAAAGATGAGGACAACAGTGTAAAAAAATGTAAATAGTGTAAGAGATTATTTTTTTTAATGTGAATAAATTGAAATTTATTACTTAGGCTTTTCTGGAAAATGCAAGTTTGCAAAAACAAAAATTTAAGATTTTCCAGTTCCCATGATATTTTCAAAATTTATGGATAGATAGAGTTTTAAGTTTTGAAAAATATGATTGGAAATTCCTGTTCTTTTTAAATTCTCATATAGAGAAATAATAATCAAAAGTAACAAAATCATCAAATTTACTAAAGCTTTGTATTTGTGGTTATTTTCTCAATATGGTAGTACCCAAGAAACATTTAAAATTAGTTTGAAGATTAAAAAAAAAAACAAGGAAACTTAAGTGAATTTTAAATACTTGATAATGTAGATTTTGATTTTTGAATATAAGTTTTCATAATGACAGAAACAAATATCTTTATTCTGACCAGGATACTCTCAATTCCCAGCATTAAAAAACCTACTTTATTTCCAGTTTGTGTTTGTTCTCTTAAATAACCACCTATCATAAACTGGGACATTTGTCCTGTCATCAAAAAAATATGTTATGTAAACAAAGCCCAAAAGTGATTAAAGTTTGTCAAGTAATTCACAAGCAACAATTACAATGCATTCATTGTTGGAGAAAAATAAAATTGTTATACTGAAAATGTAAAAAACAAAAAAAAACTAACAGAATATTTCTTAATTTTTTTTTTGTTTAGATATTTATTAGTTAGCTGTTATCTCTAATGGATTTATAAATTTATTTTGTGCACTTTGAGATATAACAACAGTAAATTCCTTGCTCACTCTTTTTTGTTTTTTTAACTGAGAGAGAAAAGTGGCAGAATAGAGAAATAGTAAAATACATCTTATTAAAAAATAAATTTACTTTGATATTTGTTTTGATGTATTTGACATTACTACTTAGCTTTTTGTTTTTTGATTTGAGATTATTTTAAGCATACACAGATTTAAAGTAGAAACTTTAAAGGCATATTTAGGCAGCAAGAATTTATTAAATTTACATTAACAAGTTTTATTAAATTCAACGGATAAGGTCTGTCTATTTAAATTTGTATTATATTTTTCTAATTTCTGAAATTATATAGTAGATAAAGATTGAAATTATGAATAGACTATAAAAAAAAAAGAGAGAAGCAAGAACCCAGTCTGCCCTGCTCTTTAATTTATGACTGAAGGTAGATGGATTCATGTCTTTTCACAGGGCATTAGCCCAAAATGGACAAAACAGAATCAAGCAAGAATTGAACTCGGCACACCAAATTGATTTTCTGTGCTGATAACTATTACATTGTCTCCTCCTCCAAATTGTTAATTAGCAAAATTTAAATGTTATCTTTCTTGGCTATATTTTCTAATTAGCAATTAATACAGCAATTAAACAAAAAAGCAGATAAATCCTATGTAAAGTTCTGTGATGAAGCCTTTTCATTATTCAAATGACAAATTTAATTGTGAATAATAATTAAAGTTAAAGAAAGATCCACTTTCAGCAGTGAAAAGAAGAGAAACAATGTCATATTTTAAAAAACAAAAATAATTTCTTCAGTCAATAAAATTATTAACACACCATAACTGCAAGGAACCAAAAATGTAAAGTTTTTCAAAGATTTGTAAAGAAGATATTCTATAAAAATTTAATTTTATATAAGTTAGTTTTTGGTGTTGTAAATAAATGTCTAATTGTCAGGGTTATTTTTTTTTTATACACATACCTTTAAGGGCAGCTTAGTGGTTAAAGAACCACCCAAATTATTTCTTTGT